GCGGTTCGATGAGCCGCCTTACACCCTTATTAGAGAGAGGGTCACGCTCCCCGAGGGTGCGACCGTCACGTTGACCGTGACATTCTCGTTCCAAACGCGGAAGCCTGTCGTCCTGCGCGGTAGTCTTCGTGTTCCCAACTCCCGCTGTACTGCCTGGATCGTCTGCTCGTCCAACGAAGCGCCTGGTGGGCGGATCCTCTAGCCGGCTGGGGGGGTTCTCCCCCATGAGGATTTCAAACAGGTTTGGCTCCCAGCCGTCCAGAATGTCGGCCATGTCGGCCAGCAGTTTAGCCTCATCTTCCTCCAGCCCTGGCGTGGTGCTCGGCCCTTCCTGTGGCTGGTGTGTGCCCTGTTCTGGGCCATAGGCTCGCCGTCCTTCCTTGGGGGGACCCTGATCCTGCTCGGAAGGGGTCGCTTGTCGTCCCTCTCCAAGTTGACTCAACTTTTCCGCCACACCCGCCAAATCGACCCTCGGGATCTTGTTGACTGGGCTTCCTGACGGACTCCGCCTGAAACGGCGTCGGAGTGGGGAACTCGTTTTCCTCGTCGCTGGTCTCCGTCTCGAAGTGTGCGGCTCGCGCTCTCTCCTTCTCGCCCCGCCGCGTCCACAACGATGGGGGTCGTTGCCTTTCATCCCACGCCGCGGTCTCCTGTCTCATGATTGAGTTGGGAGATGTTAGCTACTCTTCTTTTGCGTTCGCCGCGTTTGGCAAGCCGCACGATGTTGGGGGAGATGAAGCTAACGATCCTGAAGGGGCCGTCGTACTTCGGCGCCAGTTGCTCTCCCGGTTTCCATTCGAGCCGCTCGTCTCCCTTCCTGTCGGCCCTCTCGCAGATGTCCGGCGCCCTCTGCGATTCTGCATCTGCCCGAGGTTTCCGCTTCTCCGATGGCGGAGTCCAGCATGGCGCCTCGGGGTTCAACCTCCTTTCATTTTCAAAGCACGTGCATCAAACGAGCGTCTCCTCGTCCTCAGAGTGGCTGCTCTCTTTCGACATTTCTTCCGTCCTCATAGTCAGCTCCGTGTCGCCACAACGTAGCGCCGCCCCCACAGCGCACAGGAAATCTATTCCCAATATGACGTGATCAAACATAGTTGGCATGATGAGTGCCGTCATCTGTACTACCCTCTCCGCGAGGGTCACGTCTAGCGACGACCCGTCGGCCAGCCTTATTCGCGACCGTATCTCCTGCGACTCTCATTAGACCATCTGTCGGCGCACGCAGTCTTCACTCATGAAGCTGCGTGTGGCCCCGGTGTCGATCGTAGCGGTCGTACTCTGGCCTCCAATCCTCACCGTCGCGACGATCCTTCCTTCTTTTAACCTTAACGGGTATCCGCGTCTCTCTTCTGGTGTTAATTGACGCCACCCTGCTCCATGGGACGGCGCAACACTCTTGTGTGCTCCTCCCCTTTCTGCCGCATCGTCGGCAAAACAGCGCGTTGCGACATTCCCTCGCGAAGTGTCCCACCTACGCACATCTTTAGCAGACCCGTCGCGGATCGAAGTCGAAACCGGGCCATCATGCGATGCACCGCCTTCGTTGGTGCCGTTGCTGTCGCCGCGATCTGATCCGAACCTTGCCGCTCAGTCCGCGGCTCCGACGCTTGCGCACGGAACGGGTTTCCGGGCCGACTGTCAGCCGGCCCTGCCCAAGGTGCCCTCGAATGGCTCGCCACGGATTTCCTCTCCCAAATCCTCTTTTGGTCTTGGACGTTCACATACTCCGTCGCCATCTGGGTCAGTTGCGTCAACGTCGTGAAATCGTGGCGTCTCACGTATAATCGATATTCAGGGGCGGCGCTCTCGTACACCCTGTGTAGCTCTTGCGCCGCGCTGTACCTTGCCTGACTTAACCGCAACCTGAGCTCGAGAAGGTAATCTTTAAAGCTCTCTCCCTGTCACTGATGACGAGCCCGTATTTAATCTTCAGGGCGCTCAAAATATTGTGGTGGCAGGAAAAAGTCCAGAAAATCTTTCTTGAATTCGGTCCAGATCGCGTCTCTCAATCCACTGGTTAAAAGCCACTTCGCTGCCTTGTCGCTGAACATCTCGCTCATTGCTCTCGGCATCCGGTCCAGCTGTATGTCATATGTTATGGCCCGCTCTTCCACCACCTCTACGAAAAAATCAGTGCTCTCCCTGTCACTGATGACGAGCCCGTATTTAATCTTCAGGGCGCTCGAAATATTGTGGTGGCAGGAAAAAGTCCAGAAAATCTTTCTTGAATTCGGTCCAGATCGCGTCTCTCAATCCACTGGTTAAAAGCCACTTCGCTGCCTTGTCGCTGAACATCTCGCTCATTGCTCTCGGCATCCGGTCCAGCTGTATGTCATATGTTATGGCCCGCTCTTCCACCACCTCTACGAAAAAATCAGTGCTCTGCGACCACTGCCACGAAATGCACACATTCCCAAATGAAGTACGGTTATGTGCTCTTTTTCCCTTACCAAGTGGCGGAAATGCCCATTATTTTGCCCATTACTCTTGGATTACTTGTCGCTTATGTGCATGAAATAATCGATTACAAGCTCCATTACTTTCTTAAAAGATGGCCGCGTTTTTTTACCGGGTGCATGAAATAATTGATTTTTTCTTTCGGCTCTCCATTACCCAAGCGTATACTTTTTAAATATTCTAATGCAGACATTCCGCAGGCTGAAGAAAAAGTATCATACAATTTCAAAATCGCTTATGGGAGTAATGTACGTATATTAAAACACAATATACCCGCAAACCATTTTCCCGCTATATAATATGGCTTACATCTGTGCAATTTGATTGCAGATTACTAAGTGAAATATAGAAACGATTCAGTAATGTAGCATTTTTTACTTAAATTTACAATAATTATAATTTATTATGTCGTATTAGCTAAATATTATTTACATTCTTAAAATCTAAATTCACTCAGTCTATATTTACATAACTACATATTAATTTATTGTTTTATTTTTTGTTGTCAAATTTTTGCTTCGCCAGCCCGCAAGCAGTTCCTAACAGTTGTGATGTACTCTTTTTTGGTCCACCCTTCGATGTTAATAGCATCTGTTAATTAAACATTTCTTTGTCATTAAAAAGAAAATGAAGATGATGTATACATACCAGATAGAGCATATTTATATTTACATATAACTCACTGCGAAATACTTTCCTTCAAAGTTACGTCCGCACAGCACAATAAAATCTGAAAAGTGGCGTGTCACATATGTATACAATTATGCACTTGTATTTTCACACTTTAACACTATACACCCAAAAGGAATAGGCATAGACAAAGAAACCAAACGAAGACGAAAATCGTTTGTTGATTAGAGGGGAAGGGGCATACAAAAACGAAGTTGACAACAGCACGATTCTTTCGTACGAGTAGTCGTTTTAATTTTGGTCATTACAAATACGTCTCATATTTAATGCATTATTTTGACCAACCTCATTTAGCTCGTCGCCACTGGGTATTCACTCTCTCCCTCTCTTTATGTTCTCTCAAATAGCACCAGCACACATTGGGCCAGCGAGCTTATTTTTCGACGAAAATTAAGCTTCAGACCGATCTGACCACGCCTTCCTTAGCCGCCCTAATTTTATTGGCTTCCACTTATTTATACTTTACGGTAATTAATATTGCTACCATTCAATAAATTCAACAAATGTTTTAAATTCATTTGTTTAACCCTTATCCTTAATATTAAAAGATTATAATTATTATAATATATAACAAAAAATAATAATAATGCATTCAAAATGACCATAAGTATTTTACATTTAAACATGTTCCTAAAGCTAGGTATGCTAGGTATGCGATGCAAACAATTTGCAGCAAGTTGATTGCTGCAATCAAATTTGCACGTTTGAACACGAGTGCAAACATTTTGCTGCAAACAAAAAATTTGCAATAACTGTTTGCATCGTGTGTACCTAGCTTAAAAGTCATCTTCTATATAAATTTCTATATATTTTCAAGCAGATAAGCTAAAGCTTCATCCTCCGCTAGCCCAACCAAGATTTTTTCTAGCCTTATTAAGGTTACACGGAGTAAGAAATGTATTTTTTAACACAAGGGATGTATATTTCTCGTTCGACTTGCGGCCAAACCCGGCAAGGCGAGATGTGTGGTGATTGGACAAAAGCCATTTTGTTTTGTCTTAAATCTGGGCATACTATATTATATTTTGCCAATTTCTTTTGTATGTAATGGTGAAAGCTTCTCACATTAGTGCTGATTTCATCCTTTGCCTTCGGGCTTAAGTCGAATTCTTTCAGTTTATCATAAATCCAACCCAACACGGCAGATTTACGGCGATTGTTTTGTATGTAGATCTCAAGCAGTTATTCTTAGGCGAATTCAATCACCGCTACAATATTATTATACAATACAATATTATTATTATATCCTACATACCCTGGACTTTCTTTTCCATAATTTTAGTGAAAATAGCTAAAGCCCACAATAATTTTGTCACGCAAGTAAACAGAAACTTTACCGCACTTTTTAGTTTTGCATACATGTAATCAAACAGGTAACTTTGAAGGGCTGCCAAAATTTCACGGATGCATCAAAACAATTAAAATTTTTGGATTCAGCTTAGTCAAAGTATATACTATTCAAGATTTTTAATTAAAATAAATTTACTTTCCATCAAAAATTTGAATTTTCGTCGAAAAATCGGCCCAATGTGAACTGGACTACTCGACCAGACTGTAGCCACGAACACTGACCAGAGAACACATAGACTAGACCTGTAGAACAAATTTTTCTACAGCAGAAAATGTTAAGTTGGTCGACCACTATACTTAGTATTTGCTCGGCTTAGTCGCTGGAGGTTCGAGCAGTGAAAATATTGCACGACAAAACAGTGCGCTGTGAGCGCTCAGTCGAAATGGTTGTGATTATGTATAAAGCACATCTATGTGCCATTTGTCCTACTCTCTTTCTCTCAGTCCCTCTCTCGCTCTCTATGGTCGCTGAAATCATCACCCAGTGGCGGAAATGCCCATTATTTTGTCCATTACTCATGGATTACTTGTCGCCTGTGTGCATGAAAAGATCGATTACAAGCTGCCTTACTTTTATAAGGAATGGCCGCTTTTTCTCCCGGGTGCATGAAATTATTGAATTTTGTAATGCAGAAAGTAATGAGGTGACGAAGTTTCCTTCGGCTCTCCATTAACCATGCGTATACTTTTTAAATATTGTAATGTAGAAATTCCGCAACCTGAAGAAAACGCCTTATACATTTTCAAAATCGCTTATGGGTTAGTAATGTGCGTACATTACAACACAATATACCTGCAACCCATTTTCCCACTATATAAAATGGCTTACTTCTTAATGCAATGTAATTGGAGAAATAATTGATTACTAATTGAAAGATAGAAACGCTTGAGTAATGTAGTATTTTTTGTTTTAATTTTTAAATATTATTATTTATTATTTCTTAATATCTATAAATAAATGTATAGTCTTAAACTATGTCTTATTACTATTTTATTATATCTATCTACATCAAAATCTAAAGCTATGTCTTATTATCTAGTTTGTCCTTATTATCGAACATCTGCTTTGCCAGTCGACCTTTCTGGACCCGAAAGCAGTTTCTTATTGTACTTATATAGGTCTTCTTAGTGGACCCTTCGGTTTTTATAGCATCTGTAAATTAAACAATATTAATTTTTTTGTCATTAAAAATACATGTAAGATGATACCAGATACTTCCCTTTAAATTTACGTCCGCACGGCTCAACAATAGCAGAAAAGTGAGGCGCCGCGGCGGGTAAAACGAAAACAGAAATCATCACACATATGCATTTTTGAACTTGTATTTACACTCATTAACACTATACACACAAAAGAAATTGGCATAGACAAAGAAACCAAACGAAAGAAGGCACGCATTCCATGCAAAAAACGGTAAAGTCCAAAACGAAATTCGGCGATTTCGTCGCGACGCAACGAAAGACGAAAATCGTTTGTTGGTTAGCGGGGAAGGGGCATACAGAAACGAAGTTGACAAGAGCTCGATTCTGTCGTATGAGTAGCACTTTTTATTTTGTACATTACAAATGCGCTGAAAAAAATGTTCATAGGTAATGCATTACTTTTTTGTCGTATGTAATGCATTATTTCAACAGACCTCATTCAGGTCGTCGCCACTGGGCACTCTCAGCTGCGCACAAAAATTGAAATTTTTGTTCGCGACGATCCCACCTTTTTCCTTTTCAGCGAAGAGTATACAGAAATCTTTAAAGCGTTTGCCATGCTCATGCAAACAAACTGTAAGCGTTTCGATGATTATTATATGATTATACAATGATAATGTAAAATTTAAAATTTTTTTTTATTTGTATGAATGATATAAACTGCGTTTAATGAGTATGTTTTTACTTACATGTATACATATCCAATTACATACACACATACATGCATATGTGCAATTCTTTATTCTTGTTGTCCTGTGCTGTAAATATTGTACGAGCATATATATGTATGTACATGCATAAATACATATATATATAATATATATATATGCATGTATGTTTATAATACGTAAATTCGACTTGTGCCTGCCAAGGGCTTTTTATTGTGCGGACGACTTTCGATCAGCTCCGCGGAGGGAGTGTTAAGTAATCTTGTATTATAAAAAATAAATAATAATTTTTCGATGCTGGCAGCAAGGATGGGTGGTGGAAAACCATTCCTTATCTAAAGATGATTTTGCTGTAGCGTGCATGCAGTACAGAACAATTTTCTCTTTATTGCGAGCGATGTATGGTTTCTTTTCGAAAATTGTCCTAAATGTTTCGAAATGCAGCTTTATCAAATTGTAACAAGTAAGAAGACTCTAGTTGAGACTGCTCGACTAGGATATACCCTGAACCCTCTAATCTGATATTCTAATCAGTCTGCACTTCTTTTCGACACACATACATACACACGCACGTATTAGAACGCGCTCTGCTAACTGCGCAGTAAGCAGCGACTGCGCTTGGGCTGCGCTGTAGTGTCGGCAACATTATAAAAATTTATTTGTTGAATAATTTAATTTTTAGACGTACAATCTTAATGAAACTTTCAGGGCGTAATCATATGGTGAAAATGTATGTACATTCCAAAGCACAAGTCTCTAGTACTTGAAATACGCCTTGTACATAGGTGATGGTGAGGGGGTGGATATAGGGGTGGGGGGTAAATAACAATAAAAATCGAAATTATATTAACAAAACCATTATACCCTGATTTCCCATTTTCAATGGGTTCAGGGTATAACAAGTAAGAAAGCTCTAGTCGAGACTACTCGACTACGAGATCCCCTGAACCCTTGGAGTAATAGCTATTTCAATCATTTTTCGCGTCTTTCAGCTTACACAAGAAACACGCACACACACACACACACACACATACACACTCACGCACACACAGGCATACATACACACACATACATACACGCACACATACACACACACACACACACACACACACATACACAAACATTTACATATACACACACAAGCGCTTACTATGAGAACTTAATTGCTTAATAACTTTTTTTGTGGACTTACGATCTTCATGAAACATGGATATGCATGTAATTGCTAAAGCACAAGTCTCTAGTATTTGAAATACGCTTTTTACAAAAGTGAGGGTGAGGGGGTGAATTTAAGGGTGGGGGGTAAATTTTAACAAAAACCGAAATTGTATAAATTGCATATAAGCATACATTGAAAATTTGGAGACTCTAGCAATAAAGGTGTAGAAGATATAATTTTATAACTGGTTTTCGATAAGGTTTTTATCGATAAAAAAATATCGGGATGAGTTATCGATTTTCAATGATAAACTTGATATGCGCGCTGTAATTACGGACATTAAAAAAAAAAAAAATTTGAAGTCTCTAGCTCTTATATCTTCTGAAATCGACGCGTTCATACATACGGACAGACGGACAGACGGACAGGGCCAAATCAACTCAGCTCGTCGCCCTGATCAAGAATATATATACTTTGTGGGGTCTGCCACGCCTCCCTCTGCCTGTTACATACATTTCAACAAAACCATTATACCCTGATTTCCCATTGAAAATGATAAGATAGATATCTATTTATGTAATGAAAATTTTTATTGAGTATCAAATACTCAGAAAACACTACATTTCATCCGATGACTTTAAAAGATTTGAAATTTCGCAATCAGTTTTTTGTAGTAATTTGTAGAGAACATACCCAGCAAAATATCGTAATGCATTTCCATTAAAAACATTTTCAATATTTGCAATGGTTGCATCTAATGATAATTCAACCTCAATATTTGGTTCTTGATCTACAGATGAATTCGTGGCACACTGACATGAGATCTTCATCTTCAATACAATTTCTAGATATAGAGGCAGATGTCAAAATTTTCATTGAAAGCATTTTAGATATAATAGAATTAAATTCAAAAACTGTTGGGTTAGTATTGGTTGCCCCTCGACTTCTAATTAAATAAAATAAATTTTCTAAAGGGCCTTGGTTTAGTTTGGATGTGGCAACAAAGAAAGTATCACTGCTGTCATTCCAAATATTTTCCGCTAAAGCAATTACAGATGAGATTGTAGTGATCATCCCATCAATACAATATACTTTGTATGGATACTTCAGGTCATGAAAATAATCTCTCATTTCCTGAAGATACTCATGGACATTATTGTTTTTCCTAAGTGCGCATCTATACGGATTACTATACGAATTACTAACATGACTGTTTAAACAATCGAAAAGGGTATTAATTTTGTCAATAAAGATAGCTGTTGCAAGAGCACTATCTTTACAATCAGTAAACCTGCCTGAATCTACAACTGTGCGTATCGCAGCAGCTACACTGTGGCTAAAAACTTGGGTGGCAAATTTGACTTTCATTTTCTCAAAACAATTTGGACTGACATGTTTTGGAGTCAATTTCGGACCTAGGCGCGTCAAATTTTTAGTTTCAATTTCATATAATTTTCTTATTATACTCCATGAAACTGTGCCCTGAGGTGTGGAAATATTATGCTTATTCTCTTAAGAATATTTCTTAGCGATTTAACAAGATTTCTTTATTGTTGACAGAAAAACTAGGATTGTTGATGCCTATGCCCCATCTATCAAAACCGGCCCTATTATTGGATCCCTGATCGCAAACAACGGCTTTGACATTAAGCCCCAATGCTTGCGATAGTCCAATATTTTCTTCAAATTTTTTTTTAGGTCAGTATGATTTATGCCACGAGCTGAAACCGTATAGCTTAAAACATACTTCCAGTTGTCAAACAGCCCCCTAGCAAGGAAAACACAGACTTGCTGTCTTAAAAATTTAGTCCTTTTTATGCCATCGTTTTCAAATCCCTGTATCTCGTCAATAGATGAATTATACTGAAGACCTCTCTTTACTTTAATTTCATCGCAAACTAATACGGTATATTTTTCCTTGGCGCTCATTTTTTCGACATCGCCCTTCAAGTTTTCTAATAGCTCTGGATTAAATTCAGGAACTAAATTTTTTTAAATCGCCCAGCGATTTAATTGTTTCTTACACGGGAGTCTTAAATAAAGAACATCCCTAAGGTAATCATATGTCCTAGCTGAGTAGAAATGAATATTTTGCGAAATAACTCTTTCAGTGCTGTTATAAACCTGATTTTTTTTTTTAAACATTTTACATAAGACCTTTGATTGGTCTGAAACGTGAGGTAAATTGTTAATTGTCGTGAAGATATTAACATGCTTTTTCTCCTTTCTGGCTCTTTGGTAAATGTTTCTTTACCTATGAGCATTTCTTAAAGATGAATACCTTTTTTTCAAATTAGAATTCTCTTTCTGTACATTCTGAAGAGCTACTTTCATTTCATAATATTTTTTCCGATAATATACTTCGTTTTGCTCTCTTTTTAAACAATTTGAGCCAAACGAAGACCTACCGGAGCTTAAATCTTGCCACAATTGATTTTTTAAACTATTGTCAAAGCACAAAAAATTCTCCAAACTTTCTTCCTCGTCACTTTGATTTTGAATGTTGCTGATCTGATGCTGATGTTCTGGGTCAGATGGCTTCACAAAGTCAGCCACTAATTTGTCTAAACTTTTCCTTGGATAGCTATAAGGAGTAATATATTCTTCCTGAATGTCTATCGTATAAATGTCATCACTTACGTGAGCATTATTATTTGAAAGAAAGTTTGACTTGTACAAATTTAAGGTTGGGACTGCATTAATTAATTAAAATTAAAATTAATAGAGCTTTTTCTATAGCTCGCACCACACGTTTTAATAATGCATTTATCTCCACTTCCTCGTGATTTCTTTAAAATATTTGTTTTAGGCATAGTTTTGAAAAAAAAAAAAAACTTATATAAATATTGGCACGATTCTTAACAATAGCAAAATCACTTAAATAATAATTAAATACCGTTTAACACTCTCTCTGCAGATTTAATTCCAAATCGCTCGCACAATTAAAAGCCCGTGGCAATCACAAGCCAATGTTCACGTATTATTACAATATTCCTCAGGCAGCAAGAATAGTTTCCCATACTAGCACATACATAATAGCTCATACATGTACATGTAAAACGGGACGGTAACTGACGATTGACGAAAATACTGAGAAAAAATTGACTTTCGCGCCGCACGCACACAAAAACCCATACATGTAGCAAGGGACTGTAAATGTGTGGGTGTACATTCTCGTCGCGAAGATGTATTCCTTATGTGCACAACAGCCTGTGCGTGCAAACACACATACATATGTACGTATAAATGTACATTTATAAATTTATTTTCCAATGTTATTGAACTATCTTTGTTTTGAATTGAAAAATGGGAAATCAGGGTATAATGGTTTTGTTGAAATGTATGTAACAGGCAGAAGGAGGGATGGCAAACCCCACAAAGTATATATATTCTTGATCAGGGCGACGAGCTGACTTGATTTAGATCTGTCCGTCTGTCTGTATGTCCATATGTTTGAACGCGTCGATTTCCGAAGATATAAGAGCTAGAGACTTGAATTTTTTTTTTTTAAATGACCGTAATAAAACGCGGATGTCAAGTTTGCTTTTAAAATTCGATAAATCATCCCGTTATGTTTTTATCGAATAAAAACATTCAAGTTCAAGTCAGATGCCACTATAGCTGATTGTGAATGATTTTTCATAATTTTTAATTTCTCAAATATTCAATATAATATGTAGATCATATGCTGAAAGTTTCATTAAATTCCGTTCAGTCAAAAATTAATTAAAAATTATCAAATATTTGGCCAATTAACAAACGCACGTGTAGCAGCTACAACAGCATCGTATACGTGTGCACACATACATTCAAACTTCGTTGCATGACGCTCGATTGAGAAGTCGCGGTTCGAATCCCGATCGGTGCAACTAATGTTAATTTTTTTAATTGTTTCAAAAAATTTTTATATTTTCATAAATGAGTTTTCTATTTAATTTATATTTTTAAATACATCGAAATTGAAATTTTAGCCATACTAAATGGGCATTTTTATACCCTGAACCCATTTTCAATGGGAAATCGGGGTATAATGATTTTGTTGAAATGTGTGTAACAGGCAGAAGGAGGCGTGGCAGACCCCATAAAGTATATATATTCTTGATCAGGGCGACGAGCTGAGTTGATTTGGCCCTGTCCGTCCGTCTGTCCGTCTGTCTGTCTGTCTGTCTGTCCGTCCGTCCGTATGTATGTACGCGTCGATTTCAGAAAATATAAGAGCTAGAGACTTCAAATTTTTTTTTAAATGTCCGTAATTACAGCGCGCATATCAAGTTTAACATTAAAAATCGATAACTCATCCTGATTTTTATATATATGATAAAAAACCTTATCGAAAACCAGTTATAAAATTATATCTCCTACACCTTTATTGCTAAAGTCTTCAAATTTTTATACCCTGAACCCATTTTCAATGGGAAATCGGGGTATAATGCTTTTGTTGAAATGTATGTAACAGGCAGAAGGAGGCGTGCAGAAGGCAGAAGGAGGCGAGGCATGAAGCATTGCTTCGCAAGCACTGTGCGCTACCTTAGCCTGGGACAGCTCGTCTTCTCATTCGCTCGACTCTGCGGAGCTCCATCATCACTGTGGCCGCGAAGGTGCTTGTTAGTTCCCAAGTTTCCTCCGATTCCAGCATGGCGTTGACAATGTTGTCCGCTCTGATGGAGCGGCCCACTGCCTCTTCCAGACGACGCCTCTCCTCCCGGAACCGTCCACATTCGAAAAAAATGTGGTTGACGTCTTCCACATGCCCTCGCTCGCACCAGGGGCACTCGTCAGATTCCTCGTGGCCAAAGCGCTTCAAATAGCTCCGAAAGCATCCATGTCCCGAGAGGATCTGCGTAAGGTAGAAGTTTACCTCGCCGTGTTTGCGGTTGACCCATGGTTCAAGCTCCGGGATGAGCTTGTGCGGGCGGTGCCCTTTAGCTGACCTATTCCACTTTCATTGCCATCGTGCTATGCTGTTCGCCCTGATAGCGTTGAGACGCGCAGGCGCGTGCGAATTCCGCTCCATTGGTTCTTTTGGGTTCGCTGCACTTCTAATGGGCCTCGGCTTTTTTGAGGGAGTTTTCCTCTGTTCGTATGCCTGTGTGTGCGTGCGTGCGTGCGTGCGTGTGTGTGTGTGTGTGTGTGTGTGCGTGTGTGTGCGTGTTTCTTGTGTAAGCTGAAAGACGCGAAAAATTATTGAAATAGCTATTGCTCCAACGGTTCAGGGGATCTCGTAGTCGAGCAGTCTCAACTATAGCTTTCTTACTTGTTATACTCTGTACCCATTGAAAATGAGAAATCAGGGTATAATGGTTTTGTTAAAAGTATGTAACAGGCAGAAGGAGGCGTGGCAGACCCCACAAAGTATATATATTCTTGATCAGGGCGACGAGCTGAGTCGATTTGGCCCTGTGCGTCTGTCTGTCCGTCCGTCCGTCCGTCTGTATGTATGAACGCGTCGATCTCAGAAGATATAAGAGCTAGAGACTTGCAATTTTTTTTTCCTAGGTTCGTGTATATCACGCGCATATCAAGTTTTTCTTTGTATATCGATAACTACTCCCGATATTTTATAATCGATCAAAAACCTTATCGAAAGCTAGTTATTAGTATTTCAAGTAGTAGAGACGTGTGCGTTAGAATGTACATACATTTTCACCATATGATTACGCCCTGAAAGTTTCATTAAGATTGTACGTCTAGAAATTAAATTATTCAACAAATAAATTCTTATAATGTTGCCCACACTACAACGCAGCCCAAGCGGAGTCGCTGCTGACTGCGCAGTTAGCAGAGTGCGTTCTAATACGTGCGTGTGTATGTATGTGTGTCGAAAAGAAATGCAGACTGATTAGAATATCAGATTAGAGGGTTCAGGGTATCTTCTAGTCGAGCAGTCTCGTCTAGAGTCTTCTTACTTGTTATATTTATTAAATTTATGAAATAATATTAAAAAGATTCCTATTTGAAAGAATTGTTTTTATTTAATTGATGACTTCGATAAGCAAGCACACGATCATTGTTACAAAATAAAAGGTACATAATAGAAATGCGATTCTGCAATTCCAACCCTAAATCGGTCAACCAATTCTAAGTTGAGGTAGACACACGCCAATGTTCATGTCACATTTACATACGCACGCACATGTAAAGGCCCACAGCATACAAATGCTTCTACAAGTGCTATTCCATAATTGTGAGCATCGCATCCCATGCGAACACACACACAATCAAATGGATACATGTACAAGACCGACCAAATGCAAATGCTGGGCTCTAAAATTGCTACAGGATGAAAGAGCTTCGCACCCTGTCATACATATGCTCATACATGTACTAAGTGTGCAAGTGTGGCTTGCCCGTCGCGAAATCATATTTTTTATGCGCATCAACACTCTCATACCCTTCTCAAAAATAATCATCGAAACGTTTACAGTTTGTTTGCATGAGCGTGGCAAACGCTTTAAAGATTTCGGTATACTCTTCGCTGAAAAGGAAAAGGCTGGGATCGTCGCGAACAAAAATTTCAATTTTTGTGCGCCGCTGAGAGTGATGATTTCAGCGACCATAGAGAGCGAGAGAGAGGGACTGAGAGAAAGAGAGTAGGCCAAATGGCACATTTGGCTAGTCTATGTTTTCTCTGGTCAGTGCCACTAACCAGACAACACATAGATTAGACATGTAGAACATATTTTTTCAACACCGAAAAATCTGTCTAGTAGGTGCCAACAACTTCGTATTCACTCGGCTCTAAAAGTTTTATCAAATATGCCAAAAATTTCACGATGTGTGGTTGAGTGATGAGTTTAAAGAGTGGATTCGCAAGGATGCCACAAACTTAACAAGGACCTATTGAGCCTATTGCAAGTGCACTATTAACGCGAAGCTTTATGATATGCGCCACCACAAAAAAAAAAAAAAAAAAAAAAACAACATATAAGTGCGATGGGTGCGTGTGCAAAAAAAAAAAAACAAATAAATTGAATATCTATATAATTACATATATATAATTTTAACTAAATTTGGCAATTTAATTTAGCAATTTTAATAAAGTTTTTAACAATTTTAGCAACTCTTTTTGAAATTCTAGCAATTCTTGCCCTCAAAATTCTGGCAGCATTGGTTGCACGATTGAGTGATAGTAGGTTATGCAAAGAGATCAGCTGATTTGCAGCTGTTTAAACCAGCCTACCACACAGCGGTTCGTCGCAGTATCAACGCCTTCCCAACATCTCCAATAAAATGCGTCCTAGCAGAAGCGGGTTTGTCCACAATGGAGGACAGAGTTGCAGAAACAACAGCCCTGCTTATCCCGAAAATGTTCTGCTCACCCAACCTGCTCCTTCAAACTATGGTACGGAAAGCTATAAATCAACGGAGAACCTACCGATACCTCTCCACAATACGCCGATGCGCCGCTCTCTCCAAAAAATGGAATATCCCAACTCCAACAACACCGAAAATCCCCAGCGCCCCTTCATGGCTTCTTAGACAATCCTCTATTAACTGCGCGCTACAGGAATTTCAAAAAATCACACAAACGGGGAAACTTTCTGCCAATTATTTTATAATGAAACAGCCAAGGAATTTTATGTTAATCGAACGTGGATATTCACTGACGCAACAAAATCAGCTGAACTCACTGCATTCGCATGCGTTGACATCAATGGTAAAATTCTATCAGCAGGAACACTACCAGAATACTACTCTGTATTTTCAGCCGAAGCAGAAGCTATTCTGAAAGCCATCGTTTACGCACAAGGCAGAACTGGAAAGTTTACGATATGTACCGATAGCCTATCGACTGTAGAATCTGTCAAAAATCTATCTAACACAAACCCAACAATCGTGCAGATACGGGAAAGTTTAATAAAAACCCCTCTAAAACTTAACATATTTTGGGTTCCCAGCCACAGGGGCATCAGGGGCAATGAGTTGGCTGACAATGCAGCAAAAGCAATGTCAAAGTATCCCACAATCATGATACTCCCTTCAGCGGAAAAAGATCTGCGAAAAGTTATTCTCAAACAGCTCCACTCGCAAAAAATCGAAATCTGGGCTAACTTTCATCACAGATACAGGAACTGCAACCCAAATTTGGAGAAAGTCAAGTTCCCTATCAACACATCCCGAACGAAAAACACTATTTTCACCCGCCTCCGGATAGGACACAGCAGTGGCACCCACAGCCATGTACTGTCAGGAGACCCAAAACCGAACTGCCACTTATGTGGTCTAGAGCTCTCTACCGCACACCTGCTGGACACCTGCAAAAAATTAGTTAGCATTAGAAAAGCTCATTTTCCAAATATACTTACCCTACGTCACAACAATAAATATAAATAAAATATATAGATATTTACAAGATTGTAATTTAACAAATAAGATATAATCCTACATAGAGCCGAAGGCCTGGTCGCTAGCGCTCTTATTATATACTTAGCTTTAATATTCTTGTGTATTATAGCTAACTTTGTAAATAAATAAATAAAACGAGCTGGGCGGCTAATCACAAGTTCTATATAGATTTACGCATCAGACAATATAAAAGTTTTTGCTAATTTTTATATTCTGAGTCGTTTTCTAGGCAGTTATTCAGCACCCAATCCCTTGACCACTTTTACTTTCGCGCAGAATGGCTTTAATTATATTATCTTAGCCTTTAATTTTTACAACTAAATAGCTACTACTAAGTACTACGCATTACTCATCACTAAAATTAGTGGTTGACCATTTTAAAGCTATTTTCTAATGAAATTCCACTTGGTGGATCTCTGCTGAAGTGCCCGCCAAGCTTCAGCTAAGATAACAGAGCACAATCTGAAAATTTGACGTCACAAGAGAGCTGTTAATTAACATTAAAAGTAACGGGACTGATCTTTGTGAAACCTTTTGGGTCTTTTAACAGTTGGCTCTCAAAAGATTTGAGTCAAATCATTAAGCTCAATAGCGCACAAAAACTGAAGATTGTTCGCGACGATCCCAGCTTTTTCCTTTTGAGTGAAGAGTATACCGAAATCTTAAAAGCATTTGCCATGCTCATGCAAAATGTTTGAGTTGTCATTATTATTTGTGGGAAGGCTATGAAAGCGTTTGGTGTGCATAATGAAAATGTTTTCGTGTCGAGCGTGCACACACACACTGTCGCCTGCTACATGTACTATGAACACTTGTGTGTGAGTTTTATTAATAAAAAGTTATTAAACAATACCTAAATCTTCAAATCGTTTGTCATGCTCATGCCAAAGTTTGCGTTTTGTTTAATAAATTTTCTAGTTGTTCATGAAACTTTTAGATTGTGATTGTATCATTAAATTGCTTGGCTGTGCCAAAGCATAATTGACTAGTGTTTGAAATACGTCTAATACAAACATATCGGTGAGGAGGTGGATATAAAGGTGGGAGTGAATTATAACAAAATTCGAAATTCTATAACGTACATATGAATTTACTTGTACAATTTGGCGACTCTAGCTGTAAAGATGTTGGAGATATAATTAATTAGCTTATTTTCGATAAATTTCTTAATCGATAAAAAAAATAACGGGAAGAGCTATCGATATTTGGAGGTAAACTCGATATCCGCGCTAAATATACGGACATTTAAAAAATGCAAGTCTCTAGCTCTGATATTTTCTGAGATCGACAGGGACAGACGGAAAGACGGACGGACAGAAATACGGACAGGGCTAAATCGATGAATTATGATGTTCCATTTTTAATGGGTTTAGGTCCTGCTGCATCGTTGTATATTTTGACACTAATATTGGAATATATTCTCGAGTTTACAGTTCAGAATCAATTAGGAATATATTCTCCACTTTACAGTCCAGAATCAATATAGAGTTTGCAGTCCATTAGGAATATATTCTCGAGTTTACAGTGCAGGATCATCTAGATATTGCGGATCTGGCTACGGTGAGCTGTGAATGAGTATTCTGCAGTCGGTAACGCCGGACTTCTACGTTCTTATTTATTTTATATGTAACATATGATATATTGATTATTTGTAGGTTTCTTGGATACGGAGAAAAGACTTCCAGTTGCTCACAGTCGGCTTATCAACACATAGCAGTGACAAACGATTTTTAGTTGAGCATACTCGTCATATGGGCCATTGGTCGCTGAGAATTAAGGCCGTCAGGGAAGACGACAAGGGATTGTATGAATGTCAATTGTCGATTTACCCTACACAATCAATTTTTATTGAATTAAAAATAGTTGGTAAGTCTATATTGATAAACAAATATCGCAAATAAAACTTAGGTTTTTTATTTACAGAAGCAGTTGCGGAAATATCCAATACTTCTGATATTCTTATTGATGAAGCTTCCACTCTTCAGCTGCAATGTAAGCTTAAGGGAGCTACAGAAAACCCATCTTTCGTATTTTGGTAAGCTTTAACAGTTAAAAAGTTAATCTGAGGATTTAAAATTCAAAATATAACTACAGGATTTATATACATATGTCAAAGCAGAAACACAGTTTCCCTTAGCGCAGCGAGTTTCGGTGGCCGTCCAGTTATCAAACGATTCTGAATTCTTTGTCTCACTAATTTCTTGTGCCTACCACCGAACCACACTCGACGACAGCTACATACGCTGTCGTCCCGCTACAACGGGACTTTTCCAGCCTACAAAGCATAACCGACCAGCCACGATACGTCCAGTCGCGAAACACACAAAATAGCAAAACCATACACATTCACATGCTCCACTCTAAATACTCTTAACAACTTCACCATACATGCTGCTCTCGTGTGAGACCAAAACAATCACCATACCCTGTCATAGTATTCGCATTCTTTGTTCAAGGGAATCGAACGCACATATACATATTTTATTTATTTCTTAAAGCTCTTGACAAAAACCAGAGTCAATTTAAATTAAGACAAGTAAGAAAGCTATAGTCGAGACTGCTCGACTACGAGATCCCCTGAACCCTTGGAGCAATAGCTATTTCAATAATTTTTCGCGTCTTTCAGCTTACACAAGAAATACGCACACACACACACACACGCACGCACGCACACACAAGCATACATACACACACACGCATACACACACATATACACACACACACACACACACACACGCATACACACACAAACGCATACACACACAAACGCATACACACACACACATACACACACACATACACAAACACATACACACACAAGCACCCACGCATAAACATGCATGGGCTGCAGTGTTGGCTTACTATGAGAACTTAATTGTTTAATAACTTTTTTTGTGGACATACGATCTTCATAAACCTTTCAGATTATGATTACAACATGGATATGCATGTATTTGCCAAAGCACAAGTCTCTAGTATTTGAAATACGCCTTTTACAAAAGTGAGGGTGAGGGGGTGAATTAGGGGTGGGGGTTAAATTTTGACAAAAATCGAAATTGTATAAAATGTATATAAGTATACATAAAAACATTTGGAGAGTCTAGCAATAAAGGTGTAGGAGATATAATTTTATAACTGGTTTTCGATAAGGTTTTTTATCGATAAAAAAAGATCGGGATGAGTTATCGATTTTTAATGATAAACTTGATATGCGCGCTGTAATTACGGACATTAAAAAAAAATTGAAGTCTCTAGCTCTTATATCTTCTGAAATCGACGAGTTCATACATACGGACAGACAGACGGACAGGGCCAAATCAACTCAGCTCGTCGCCCTGATCAAGAATGTATATACTTTGTGCGGTCTGCCACGCCTCCTTCTGCCTGTTACATACATTTCAAGAAAACCATTATACCCTGATTTCCCATTGAAAATGGGTTCAGGGTATAAAAAAAAAGTACAGAATATAATTTCAATAGTAACACCGACCCAATGGGGGTAATTTATTTGCCAGTCTGGCCAGCTATGCCCACGTCTCACAGCCAAATATGGTCAGTGATACTAATGAAGCTATAAAAAGAAAGTGTCAGTAAGAAAACTTAAAAAAAAATATATTAAATATAGATTTATTAACTGTATCTTACATAATAATTAAAATAATTCTTTAGAAAAAAATAAAAATAAAAATAAAAACAAAAACAAACAAAAAACAATAATAAAACAAGTAAGAACGTTGCAGTCGGGCGTTACCGACTACGGAATACTTATTCACATCCCATCAACAGTTTAGTAGTTAAGTTTCGCTCTAATACTGTAGAATATACAGATTTTTCCGATTTGCCACGCACCTACTGGGCGTAAGCTTCTCATTTTTGGCCAGTTCTTAGAACGAGCAACCGGTAACCTAAATGCAAATTTTGAATTCTTACGCTCAAAAAATGTGAAAATTACAGGGTATTTTTTGATATGCCAAGCCCCTAAAGAGACGTAAAAATTATTTTTTGGGGCATCGATAGAGGAGGCTACCAGTAACTCAACAATCAAAATTTGAAGCTTCTAGCTATTATACTTTAGGAGATATAAACTTTTGCGGTTTGTCACACCCCCTGTGGGAGGACATATATCCGACAAAACTTTTTGGTCTTGGGTGATCAGCCCGAGTATATATACAACATTTGAGGTCTCTGGCATCAATAGTGTCCAAAATATAGCAGAATTTGAAAAATCACTAGATCTTCAGGTCCGATTTGCCACGCCCCTAATGGGCGTAGGCTTATAATTTTTAGACTTTATAGAATCATAGCATTAGCTGACCTGCAAAATTTCAGCGCTCTAGCTGTAAAACTCTTGGAGATGCAGTTTTATCCGATTTGCCACGCCCCCAATGGGCGGAGATATATCCGCCATAGCTCGTGACCTACATACCAAATTTCAGCTTTCTAGGTCCTCAACTAATGTGATTTCTGGCATATCGGAAAATGCATTTTCCGATTTGCCACACCCATAGTGGGCGGATCGGGAATATTTTAACACTTTATAAATCGGAGATATGTGTATGTGTTCCAAATTTCAAGTCTCTAGCTTCAATAGCGCCGAAATAGATTGCGCTCATACGGACAGACGGAGAGACGGACAGACGGACGGACAGCAAGACGGACATTGCACAAAACCAATATACTAATTCCATCTGTCCGTCCGTATGTATGAACGCGTCGATCACAGAAGATATAAGAGCTAGAGTCTTCAATTTTTTTTTATTGTCCGTATTTACAGCGCGGATATCGAGTTTATCACTAAAAATTGATAACTCATGCCTTTTTTTTATCGATAAAAACCTTATCGAAAATCAGTTTTAAAATTATGTCTCCTACATCTTTAGAGCTACAGTCTCCAAATTTTTAATGTATATTGATATGCATTTTATACAATTTCTGTTTTTGTTGAAATTTACCCTCCACCCCCATATCCAGCCCCTCACCCACATATTTATAAAAGACGTATTTAAAAACTAGAGACTTGTGCTTTGGCAAGTGCACGCATATTGATGTTATAATTATGATCTAAAGATTCACGCTTCAAGTTTACATATGAGTAAAATTGTTTGGAATCTCGAGCAAACTGACATTTGCAACGTATAAGATAATTCTCATAACAGCTAGA